GTGGGCATCAGCCACCTTCCCCCAGGACCAGTGCCAGCGAGCTGAGAGGGAAAGCTGACAGCAGAAGGCAGGGGATTTAGCTGGCAGAAACTTGCCAGGCTTAAAAAGGGCAGTCTGGCCACTTCTGGCTGAGGAACTGAGAGCAAAGAATGTTCTAGCAGCTTAGCGGTGATTGAATTGTTCTTTTGAAGTGACAAGGAGATCAAAATAAAAGACTATTTTGGTTTTTGGGTTTTTTAAATCCCCTTCTTAGATCACCAGAAAATCCTGGCTCAGCTCTGGTAGGAAACAGGTACAAACTGTACCCAGTCACCACTGCACAGCCCCGACTCACACCTCCACAACAGGAGTCAAATGGCAGCACCACAGTGCTGAGAGGGCTTCAAGATCAACTTTCAGGTGGCTTTATGTCCCTTGAGCAGTGGCACAGAGCATTGAGAGAGAATGGATCTGCACAGCAAGGACCAGTGCAGGATCTCCAGCTCCTGCCTAATGAGAATTAGGTGGGACATTGGGAGGGCTGGTCCTTCCAAGCAGCCCATGCTCTCATTTCCCACGCCAGCAGTGGTGCTGCAGGTCCTCGGTGCTGCCCACAGTCCTGCAGCCCATGCTCCCATTTCCCATGCAGCAGCTGCAGGTCCTCGGTGCTGCCCACAGTCCTGCAGCCCATGCTCTCATTTCCCATGCCAGCAGTGGTGCTGCAGGTCCTCGGTGCTGCCCACAGTCCTCCCAAGTCCAAACCAGGTGCCCTTGAGGGGGCTGAAAGGGACTCAAGAGCAAGTCCAGGGCGAGACACATTCCAGCAGGGAATGGGGAATAAAAGTTTATCTTGCTTAAACACAGAGCTCAACAAAAGCAAGAGAGAAGGTCACGAGATAGGGACAGAAGTGGAAATTTGAAACAACAGGGGGATTGTATTTGACACCAGCAGAGAGGTACAAGCAAGTCTTCCTGCAGTCATGGAGAAGACTCCAGTGCTGTCTGCTGTCCTCTATAGAGAGGACATTTCTACTCAGTTAAAGCTCTGAAATAAATATACTTGTAAGGAAGCTGGAAATTCCCTTCCCAACTCCTTCCTTCTTATTTTCTTCCTTCTGTGAGAGGGGAAGCTTTTTCTCATCTGACTTTGCCTGGACAAGGTCTGCATGTCATATGATTGACCCAGGGGCACTCCCTTTCCCACAGACTCTGCTTGGACATGCAATGCATTTCCAGGTCCTGTTGACAGTGTAAAGTTCAATTGAGGATTGCTCTGTTTAGCTGTGCTGGGGGCTCATAATCCCAGTGGGTCAAAATGTTTAGAGTTGAAGAGGTTACAGGCTTTTCTGAGGGAGTATTTAAACTCCAGCTGTCAAACCATTTGCATAGAAGAAATTTGCAGCCAGCAGTACATTAAATTGCTGTTTCCTTGTTATTAATCTAGTAATATGTATTGTTTTCCCATTGCCATAAGAGAGTAATTAATCTGTGCAATTTTATGCCTATAAAATTATAAATAGTAGGCCTAAAAACAAAATGACAGTGAAGAAATTCAAGGGGGACGCACATCAATGAGAGCCTCATCAAGAAGGCTCTTGGCAAAGCCCTTGGAATGCCTTCAGGGTCTCATCTTTTCAGGGTCTGATCTTTTCAGAAACCCATCTAAGGGACTGGCAATCTGCTTCATATTCAGTTTAACTGTGCACAAAATAAACCCCAACTGCAGACTTTGCACATTAAAAGAAGAATTTAAAAAAATTTGAGCTTTTTCTCAGGGTCCATAAAGTGAGCCTGAAAATGAGGAAGTTTGCTGTTGCAATTTCCTGGGAAACCTCAGTCTCACTCCCTGTCACTATTGTTCTGTACTTTGGTCTATAACACAGATGCAAGTCTGATAAATTACAGGCGTCACAGACTGTTTTCTTTCCGTTTGCAGGAGAAAAAGCAGCGCAGGAACAAAGGTGACATCTGCTGCCAGACTGAGATCACTTTCCCTAGCTGCTTTGAAGAAGGTGAACCTGCTGCAGGTGTTTGATATGGGAGAGGTACAAGGCAGGCTGTGGCTGGGGCTGGGCCACGTCTAGGACACGATAAGCACTTCTGAAATGCTTATCACTGAAACTCCCCAGCCAAGAGGGCTTTCCTGCTTCCCTCCTTTGTGATAAAGATTTTTCTGTTGACTCAATGTGGGTTCACTCCAAAGAAACAGAGAATGAGGTTGGTGTTGGAGGGGGAGGATGGTGGGATAATCCTTAATGGAGCCAAGCTCTGTGAACAAAGACAAAATGAGGCTCAGGTTCCTCCAGGCTCTGCTCTGCTGTAACCACAGGCAAAACTCCCCTCTGCAAAGCATTCCACAGCCTCAAAAATACTCAAAGAGCCGTTTTCCCACTTCCATCCAACTCTTTCTTCCTCCTCCTGCTTGTCCCTAAGCACCTCCCATGCCACCACCTGACCTTTCCTCACCTTTTCCCTGAGCCCCCAGTTTTTCTGGTGGCACAGAAAGGCAAGAGGCAGCTCAAGCTTGGCTGGATTCTGCAAGTGCCTAACACTGGGTGAGCAGCAGCCACATCTCCCTGTGCTGAGAGGAGCTTTGTCCCCTGCCACTGTGACTGCTGCCCTTCAGCAAAAGGGGATGAAACTGGGACTGAAAGGTCACTACGGGCAGGGAACAGCCCCCCAAGGCAGCTTGTAAGTCTCACTTAGAACATTAAATGTGTGGGAAACAGCTCAAAATAAATGAGGGCAGCCTTTACTACAAGCAGATTTCTCAAGCAGGTAGTTGGGAACACTGGGAGAAAAGAATGAGGCGGTTAGTTTGGGGGTTTCCAGGTTTTGGTGCTGGAAGAGAAAAAACAACAGACTGGCTTTTGCTATGGAGGTGCACAACAGTGCTAACCTTGGTGCTTGTTTTTTCCTTGCTTTTCTTTAACAACTAAATGAATTAGATCTACTCCTTCACCAATCATTTAAAAGGAAAATGTTTATTAGGGTGATAAACAACCAACCCTGATGTCTCCCATCAGGTAGAACTGATGAAAAGAGAAGAGGGAATAGAAAAATCACAGAGCCCCAGAACAGCTGAGATTGTAAAGGACTCCTGGAAATACTCCAAAATTACTAAACATTATAGATAGGACTGAACACAACATAATCACTTGTCTGTATCATGCTCAGTGCTGTCAGCTCCTAAATGCACAGTGGTGTGTGCAATTCCTTTTGCTTTGTTGTTTATTTTGGTGGTGATGTGATTATTACAGGAGTGAGAAGGGTTGAAGGACCCTCCTTTCACACCAAGTGCAAGGTGAGCAGCACACTGGTCAGCTCTGGTATGCATTTTGCAGGGACTAGCAAAGACAAGAAGGCAGACAGAAGCCAGAGAAGTCTGATAGCTGTTGAGGGGAGCCCACCATCTCTTCATTATCAGCAGTTTCCAGGCTGAGCCTTTGTCTGCCTCTTGTAACCCCCTTCCCACCCACACACATTCCTTCCCAGCAATGCTGCTTTATTTGGCTTGTCATTATCTTCTTGTTAAATACACTTAATTGGTGCATTTAACTCTTTGTATTCCTTAATAGATCATCGGATATCACTTGTTTACTGAAAAAAAACCAAACAAACAAACAAACCAACCATAGCTTTAAGTATTAAATTTCAAAACAGCATTGAAATTGAGACGGGTCTTGCCAGTCCCAGTAACTCCCATTCACTCCATGAGACACAGGGCAAGCTGCACTTCATGAGCTGTGAAGCCATCCAAGTCAAAGTCTGCACACAGCCAGGATATTTCCAGAAATCCAAAATCTCGTTTTCCACAAGCTCCTTTAGGACAACAAATCTGCACCCCCCTGCTATGGACTATAAAGTTTTAGTGCCTCTCTTGCAGACTGGAAGGGTTCCTCTCCATTCTGCTCAAAGGTGATCAGTGCAGTTCCCCATGTGCTCTAAATTTCCACAGCCAGATCTACCAAGAGTCTAAGGAAGAAAATCCTGACTGTAAGTGATGCCAGCAAAATCCTTAATGCCAATATGTCTGGAAATTTTAAGAATTTAAATGTTGGTTTTATCTGGGGAATTGCTGCAGGCTTTACACACAGAAAAATGCCCCAACTTCATGGCACCATCAGCTACATCTACACTGGCAACTTCATTAGTGTAACCCACCCCAAAGTCTCTGCAGCCACTGTCCAAGGCAGCACACAGCTCTGCTGTGGAGTGGGAGGCTCTCTCCTTCTCACTGAGTGTTTCTGTTGAAGGATTGGGGATGGGGGAGGTTGCCTTTGAAGGGCTTTGTTCCACAAGAATTGCTTTGCTACTGAAAATGTAGCTGTACACCAAGCTGGCACAGCATTCTGCAGTGGGAGTGCAGCACTAGGGGCAAAGCTGGGCACCTACATGCCAAGGCATCAGCCAAGGTGCAAAGGGCTGGAGCAGAACAGGCAGGAATGTGCAAGGATCCAGCTCCTACACATCCTCTGCTAGGGCTTCTGCTGGTCAGGGCACAGCACTGCCAACTGTGAGAGCAGACCTGGCCCACAAAGTACCCAAAAGCAAAGGTTTGGCTTTATTCCCACACCCCTTTGTAACTCCTGGAGGAAGAGTAAAGCCGCTCTGAGTGTTTGGGAGGGAAATTGGGAAAAAACAGCAAACCCCCTATAGTGCCACATGTTCTTAATCTGGCTTTTTTTTTTTTTTTTCCTGTGCCTGGTGCCACAATTCTGGGAGCAGGGCACTGAACAGGGAGCTTCCAGAAGGCTTTGGCAGAGAAGGGACTGCTGACATCAGGGAGGCCCTGCACCTCTTGGTGGAAACAGCATGTTTCTGACATGGCAACAACATGGGTTAAATTCCAGGCATGAACCAGACAAGTCATAGCTTTAACATGTTAACATGCTCTACCAGGGGAAAAGCTGAAGTATTTTTAGCATGGCCAGAGTGTTTGTCTCTGCACTGTTCTGGCCTTTTTTGGAATTGTTAACTCTGCTCTGGAAACAAATACAATAGCCTTTGCAGTAGTGAAATACCACCTATTTTCTTTTATTGTTTGCCACAAAGAAGACTACGAGTTGTACTTCAAAGAGATTAAAGGAGAAACATACATCAGCTACTGTCAGCACAGATCACTGCTTTCACAATGCCAGCCAGATCACTTGCTGCTTCCCTATTTCTGCCCATGCCCCCCAGCCTTTCCTACTCACATGCTCAGCTCTGACAGAATCTCAGTGGAAAATACATTTTTCTTCTTGAGAAATTCCATCCTGAGTCGTTGCTTGAAGGCATTGCCCCTTGCTCTCCTGCTTGACTGGGGTGAGAGCAGTAAGAGGGGTCAACAAAACACACGCTGCTCTCTCAGCCTGCCCCTCACACAGCTACTCAGACCCATCTCCAATGTCAGGGACAAGCATCTGTTGACAGATTACTTGGTTTTATCTCATTAAAAACCCACCACGCTGTGCTGGGGCAGAGCCCACCAAATGAATCAGGGATAAAGGAGGAGATGAAGTTTAAGCACAGATGTAACAACAAGAATCAACACAAGGCAAAATCTGAGGACTGAAAGGGCAATCACATGGAGCGAAGGAAGGACTCTCCCCCTCTCCTATTTTCTTATCCCATTTCAAATAGTGTTCCCTTCCTCCTCCCCTCTGCCTGGTGCTAGCAGAAGCATGCAACACAGCCATGAGGAGCAGCCCCCTGACAGTCCCAGCTGCACCCAGGCCACACATGCAGGATACCCAGGGAAAGAAGATTCTTGGGAGGATAACGGTGAGAGAGGCTCGTGTGGCTGCAAACAGGAGACTGTGCTTGATCATCTGCTCCCACTCGATGGGAGAGGAGAACAAGCCTTTTCTTTGTCCCAGTTCTTCTCTTCCTCCTCTTCAGAGATTGCCATTACCAGTCTGGAATTACTTCTCCAGTTACTTTTTGTTGCTTCTGGACTGGGAGAGAAGATGGGGCAAGGGGGTTGTGCTTGGCAGCTCAGACTCATCTCTCAGGCAGCAGGACGAAGAAGATGGCCTTGAGGAAGTGCCCAAAACTGCAAACAGCAGCCACGAGCCAGTGGGAGCGAAGGCTGGGGTCAGTGTTCACCACACATTTTGTGATGTCTGCCTAATGAGGAGGGAAGAGACATGGTCAGAGAGATCCTGAGAGAGCACCTGGCATTTGCACCCTAAGGAATCACTCAGTGTCACAGCATAAAAGACCAAAGCTTGAATCAGTTATGTAATTGGGTCTAGTACATGCTATGCAGTAGTTGATAAACACTTGTCATGTGCTATATAGGTCCAAAAAATATTTTGTCAATACACTGTGGAAGTATTATCTTTCCTGGAACACTCCCAGTATGACTTTCATAGGTTATTGTTCAACTGCTTCAACACCTCATATGAGAGGTGGATTAAATCTGTGACTATCTCCAGCCAAAAAGATTGAGCTACTGCACCAAAATCTCTTGTGCTGACTCCTGATAACTTGCATTTACTTTCCTCAGCCTTTACAGCTTCTTTCTTCAACATTTACTGCCAGTGCAACTGCTGCCATTGCCAGGGCAGCCCCTTCTGCAGGCTGTCCCTGCCCCACAGCCCATGGCACCAGCCCTGCTGCAGCACACTGAAAGTTAGTAAATCAGGCCAAGAGCCCTGAAAAATACACATTCCTAATTCCCCACCAACGAGGCAAAGTGTCCCCCTCTTCAGCCACCCCTGGGGAAGGAAATGCTGCAGGAAGATTATCCAGCACTTCCCATTTTGGATGGCTAAATACAATTTTCTTTCCCTGTTCAAAAGGTCTAGGAAGCCTCAGCAGTATCAGCATTCCCATCCTTTTCTGTAAAGCCAGATGCTTCCCAGAGGTTGTCCTGTTTAATATCAGCTCAAGTTGCTTGTACGTTTTCTCTTGCCTTAATGCTTTCTTTGGAAGACATTCAAGCAAGCCACCCCCCAATTTAAATCTAAAGCAATGCAGGCTTTGTAGCTTTGTTTGTGGAAATACACATGCCAGCAGAGATGCCTCCCAGATGTGTGGGCCAGATTTAAAGATCACTTGGGTAGCCAGTTTCAAGTATTAATGAGAAGCTGGCCTGCAATGACTAAAAAAATTTTAAAAAAATCCATCAAATGCATAGAAATAGGCTCTCAGCTGGCATGGGAAGGAGAAAATGGAGAATATCGAGAAGGTGAATTGAACAGGACAGAGGTAGAGAGAAAAATGCATTTTCTGGTGCAGGAATCAAAATTAAAAGCTTTGCCCATGATATAAGAGAGTTCTGGTTAAACTCCAGCCCAGCACAACAAGAAGTGGACTGAGGCTGTGTAACTGGGGTGCACTGTTAGCACATCAACCCCATGTGGTTTTCAGAAACAGCTTTTGGGAACAATGATCACATCACAAGGATGGCAAATGTTCACAGCCCCAAAAGTTTTTTCTTTATGAGCTTAGCTCAGCAGTCTTCCATATTTTCCTTCTGACAGAAGTCTCTCATTGACCAAGCACAAGAGGACATGAGAGACAATGAATGCTCCAATAATCTTCTCTATTCCTTCTGCCTGTGCTCAAGACATGCACGAGCCTTGCCTGACCAACCTTGGTCATCAGAAGAAAGGAAAAAGGGGCTGAAGGGACAAATCCCAGAGTCTGGTTAGTGGGTACAGCCACACTAGCAGCCCCATCATCATCTACAGACCAAAGCTGTGCTGCCAGCAGCCTCCTACACACCCCAGCAGTTCCTTGTTCACCAGCTCTAGAAGGCTGGCACAGTGTCACCTCACACTGCTGATCTCCTGGGAGCATCAGGAACAGCTGAGCTCATGAATAAGCAACAAGCAGAGACTGCAGAAGGAAGGAATACAGAGCATGCAATGATGGGAAGGAACAGGATGACAGGAGAGAGCTGAGTCAGCACCAAGGTGTGGAAATACTGCTGCCTCTAGCTGAAAAACATGAACAAACACAGCAAGCAGAGCCAAGGCAGCAGAAGATGCTGCAGTGTGGTACCAGTGGTTCCAGGTATTGATTGAGTTGTGGAGGAAAGTAAGGTGGGTCTCCCTGAATACTTCCAGCACACTCGCCCCATTTCCATTTGGAACAGTCTGAACTGACTCAACCTGCCAGATTCCAGCAGCCTGCATGGGGCCATGTTTTAAACACACTGGTGTCAAACTGTCCCTTCAGCTGAGAGGAGTCATGCCATGCAGGCACGTCTGAACAGTTTAGGGTACCTGACCCTTGAGGAACATCAGCTCTAATGGGCTTTAGTGCCTGCTGTGAGCCAGCACAAGGCCCATACCCCCTGGGCTGGATGGGTAGGGGTTAACTGCCAGATGAGAAAATGAACCCCTTAGAGCCCTGCTACGCTCTCCCAAAGGCAATGACCTCACTGCTCTAACCAAGAGCAGCTGCACTCAGAAGCACTTACAAATTTCTATGGGGCTTGCTTAGATAAGCAAAATTGCTCAGCTGTTTAACAATTGCCTCAGCTGTTGTTATCCAAATCAGGCCTACCTGATAAGGCAGTGGAATTGAAAACTTCAAAGCCACTTAGGGCTTTTTGCCTGGTCAGGCACTGATAAACTGTTGCAATGGCAGTTTGATAGTCTATCTGAATTGTTCAAACAAATTCAAGTCACCTACACTGCTTTGTAGCAAATGCTGCTAAAAAAAAATTAAATCTTTCTATTCCACTACTGGAAAGAGTACTGTAAAGCCACTCCTGAGGCTTCAAACTCTTCCCAGGAGGAGATGATGCCTCAAAGGTTCTTTCTTGCTCTTCCTGTGAGGTTTGCAATGGTTTTGCAGTCTTCTCCACCCTGTGGAAGCAGCATGGGAACCTGCTGTGAATGGAGAACTTCAAATGCCTTTCCAAAGTCTCCATGGTTTCTTTCCTGGGCCAGCACAGGGGATGGGGGTTATTCTTGGCAGCCTCAGCCTAGGCTGATGAGTGAGAGATGGGGGCCATGTGAACAAGGATGGCAAGCCAGGACAAACCAACACAAGCTAGGCTGGCAGTGGGTGAGAGGGCTCCACCAAGAGCTGTTTGGTCTGGCCTGTGAGTGAACAAGGCTGGGAAATTCCTTGCTGCAGTGCCTAGATCAAGAGGAAGAACATCCAGGGAAGCACAGCAAAAGATGGGATTAGCAGCCTTTCCCCAGACTGAAGGGAGCCCTCATTTCTAGAGGGAAAGCCTTTCCTTTTCACAACCCAGAGGTGCTATCAGGGTCTTGGAAATGGGCTGTATCAGAGCAGCCCAGCAGCCTTCACAGAATTGTCCTTGATGAGGGGCAGTGAAGTTCCCTTCCCTTCCTTAGGGCCAGGTCCCAAGAGCATGGATTCAGCAATTCCAATGAGAATGTGCTGTCCATCTAAAGAGGGATGGATGGCTGGCAGAAGGAGCCAGTGGTGGATTTATCTCCTCAGCTGCACAGAACCACAGAACCAAGCTGTGTTTGTAGCCACAAGCTCTCTTCATAGAGAGCAAACACGCACAACTTCCCAAGGGTATTTCCTGGGAAAGGCAGCAAGGAACCTCAGAGAAAGAGAAAACAATTCTTATCTCTATTCTCTGCTCCTGTTGTTTTTGCACGTGAAGAATGTGTTAAGAAGATTGTTTACCTGAAGGGGTTTAGTAATTAGATTCTAGTAATAGTTGTTTATAGTAATTAACCAATTAGGTCAAAACTGTGTCCTAACTGTCTTAAGACAGGCACGAGTTCTTCTTTAGTATTCTTTAGTATCTTTTTAGTATCTCTTTACTATACTGTCTCTCTAATATAATATAGTATTAATGTAATATAGTGTAGTTTTAATAAAACAATTATTCAGCCTTCTGAATCAATAGAATCAGAACCAGCCGTTCCCTGGGTCCTAAGACATACATACAATAAGTGCTGGTCTGGAGATGGGTTTTGCAGCTTGTTTGCTATGCAACAAATTTTTCCAAAAATATCCTTTTGGAACTATCCAAACATTCTGTTTTGAACTCTAATGAAGCAATACAAAAATGAAAACAAGATGCTAGCTTATCAGAGCATGCAAGTTTTACCAGAACAAAGAAAAAATAGTTGGAAACTAGAAAGAGATGCTTTCCTACACAACAGTTCTGTTTTAATTAAACCAGATCTTAGGGGGGGAAAAAGTTTCAGAGAATACATTTCAAGCAGCTCTACAGGTATGCAGTTAAAGAAAGCCTCAAATGATACTGAGGCAGGGACTGGCATTCACAGGCAGGAACAGTGTCACTTAATTCCAGGATATCCTCTTCACCTGCCTCAGCACAATTAATTTTTGGAACACAAAATGAAACAGATCAGGGCATTCAAATCAAAGGTGACTTTTAGCCCAACCAAAGAGTTCCCTGAGACAGCTGGCCTCCAGGCGACTCAGTTTTAGGGAGGGCAGGGATGATTTAAGGTAGGATTGGTACTTAGTAAGTGCAAGGGATCCAAAATCAGAGCAATGATACTTTCCCAGTTCTTCACACTCCTGAAGCAATCAGGGAACTGAACCAGCTACTGACACAGCCGGGAAGTCTCAGCACAAAGGAGCAACACTCAGTTTGGAAAAAGACACCCCACTCTCTCCAGTTCTGTATGGGTGAGGAGCCTGACCATTTCCTGACAGCTTAGGAATACATTTCACCTCTTGGAAAAGAGGAAACTTGCTGCTGTGGCTCAGTCTGGAAAGAGTGCCTGCCTTGGGAACAAGATGTCCTACTAACTGAATGGTGCCACAGGGCAACATTCTGCCCCAAGCAGCGTCTGCCCAGCAGCATGCCAGAGGATCCAAGGACTGTCTGTGTCCCTCCTGGTACACACAGACATCACCCAGCTGCCAGCCACTCACACAGCCAACCAGTCTCTCCAGTCAGCTGGGGAGGTCACTGGAAAGGTTTAGCTATGCCACAGCGCCAAAATAAAGTTCTTACTATGAACCATCCTCCACAGGAACCAGTGCTCACATTAAGAGAGACCAAAGAAGTCAGTGCTTAGAGGTGAAATGAGAATTAAGCTGGCAGGCCTCATTTTTTGCTAGTTTCTGGAAAACACTGGTCAAGAGCATCACAGAATCAAAGAATGGTTTGGGTTGGAAGAGACCTCAAAGATCATCCAGTTCCACCCCCTGCCACAGGCAGGGACACCTTCCTCTAAAATCAGCCTGCTCCAAGCCCCATCCAGCTTGGCCTGAACACTTCTAGGAATGGGGCAACCACAGCGTCTGTGGGCAGCCTGTGCCCATGTGTGGTATTTCTGAGACCCCATTGGAGGAAGGAAATTATGAATCTGACTCCATGTTCTTACAAGGCTAATTTATTGTTTTATATAATATTAAAGAATGCTACACTAAAACTATGCTAAAGAATAGAGAAAGGATGCAGACAGAAGGCTAAAAGAACTAATGAAAAACTCATGACTCTCTCTCCAGAGTCTGACACAGCTGGACCATGATTGGCCAATAAGTAAAAACAAATCACATTAAATCAATCAAACATGCACCTGTTGGTTAAACAATCTCCAAACACATTCAAAAGCAGCAAAACACCAGAGAAGCAAATGAGATAATATTGTTTTCCTTTTTCTCTGAGGCTTCTCAGCTTCCCAGGAGAGAAATCCTGGTGAAGGGATTTTTCCAGAAAATATGACAGTGACACCCCTGCCCCGCAGGAATGACCCTTATAGTGTCCCACTGTGACTGGCTGTTAGCTCTGGAGAACATCAGGAACACACCAGGTTCTGGTGGGTCAGGACTGAATTATTATTATTATCATTATTATCATTATGTCTCAGCTATGCAGGAAGCTGAGACAAGGATAACTGATGGTTTTGAGGATGGGACCACGAGGCAGTAACAGAGTTATGTAAGTTCAGCACAGGTGTGAGTGTAAGTAGGACAGCAGCAGCCACAGCATCGTGAAAGAGAATCTCACGCAGCCTTTTTCTGCACAAAGCTGCAGAGAGCGCACTCTCACTTTCACTAACTGGGATATCTCCAGGTCTGGGCACACAGAAGCAAGTGCAATGAGACATGCAGCATTTCTTACCCAGCCTCCTCTCCTCTTCAGCCACGTCACCAAGGTCTTGCGGACGAACTCGCCCAGGCAGTCCACGATGGTGTGAACCATGGCGGGCTGCGCGTGCCGCACGCAGTCCACGGCCAGCCCCGCCGCCACGGCGTACAGAGACACCACCTTGCCCCACGTGATGCCTGTGAGGAGCAAAAAGGACACTCATATTTACACACACACACTCTCTCAGTTCAATCTTGAACAGCCAAAGGAATGACTCTGCTTCATTTTGGGTGCCCGCGCTCCCTGCGTGCAGCCACAGCTCTGTACGAAAGAAATGGTAGGGGACCAGAATTAGGGAAAACTCTCCACATGGAGAAGCAGAATGAAATAATCTGAGCTTGGTGTGGTTTGATTGCCTCTCAGCAATGGCTGCACAGCTTTGGAAAAAAAGCAGCCCAAAGGCACCACTGGGATAGGGGAAATCTTTTGTATTGCTCTCAGCCATGCGCATGCTGCATAGGAGGTGACAGAATTCAAATAGTTTGAACAACCTGGGGGTTTTGTCTTCAATATAAAGCATTCCTGGTTTTCTCTATGTGACACTCAAAGCATACAAGATAAGCATCTTCAGTTCTAGAATGGCACAAAAGCAACACGGGGAGGCAAAGATACAGGGCCAAGAATAGAGGAGTCATAGAATCCTGAGCTGGGTGGACCCACAAGGATCATTGAGACCAGCTCCTGGCCTGCACAGACACCCCAACAATCCCACCTTGTGCCTGACAGTGGTGTCCAAATGCTGCTGGAGCTCTGGCAGCTCTGGGGCCGTGACATTCCCTGGTGTGCCTGTTCAGTGCCTAACCACCCTCTGGGGAAGAATCTTTTCCTGCTATCCAATCTAACCCCCATGACACAGCTTCATGCCATTCCTTGGGTTCTGTCACTGCTCACCAGAGAGCAGAGTGCCCACCCCTCCACTTGCACTCAGGAGGGCTGGTGTCCTCTTCAATGTAAGCATCAGGCCTCAGTCTGCTCCTGAAAAACAGGCAGCTTCGAGGATTTGGCCACTGCCTACTTAACATTGCCTGGGCTACCCCACTGCAGACAGCGCGGGGCTGGAGAGTCAGCCAGCTCTCTGACCTCCCAGAAGACAGCCTTCCTGCCAGGCAGACCTGCCTGCAGCAAGTGCTCACAGAAGTTGTCCCAGCAGTGGTGATCTTCCTGCTGGTGTCAGCAACAAGCACGGGGGGCTCAGCTCTAGGTACCAGCCAAGCTCCTGGGGGCTGCCCTGTGCTTCACCAACACTCCTGGGCATAAATCCTCCATGCTCAAACACTGCAGGCATAAATCCTTCATGCTCAAACACTGCAGGCATAAATCCTTCATGCTCAAACACTGCAGTCAGCTGCCCCTCATCAGGCTTTCCTCAGGAGCAGTGACATGGAAACACAACCCTTTAGCTGCCATACAGAACTACTGCTGCACAATTTACTTCATTATCTGTAATATCCATATTTATCAAGCATACTGGGAAGTATTTTGCAGTGTTGGGTCTCTATGGAATCTATCCAAAGTCTCTCCCAAACATAGTTAGAAGCCTGGTGAAGTTCTAATATTTAAAAACCACACAGAATTGTTCTTGAAGGGTCGTGGCAAGGTGAGAGGATGGAAGATGTGTGCAGTGACTAGATCTGTGGATCAGGAGAGGTTAAACACACCATTAGAAAACTGGATGTGCTCAGCAAGCAAAAATATAATTTAAATGGGGTAAAGAGCCTCCCTCTTTCCTTCACTGCACTCTCAGATCCCCAGGTAGCCTGAACCAGCTCTGGGATGGAGCTCCAGCCTCCCCACAGCAGTTCTCATTGCAGCAGAATGCCCTATATTCTTTAGAAAACATGCAGATTTCAGAGCATTTCCACAATTCTTGCATGAACTCTTGCAAGAACTCTTTAAATGTCAGCACTGGAATTGCAATTGCTCCAGCACCCACCCTTGTTAGACTGAAGAAAATCCATCCAGCATTACAAAAAACCCAATTTTTCATGACTAATGTAAGGTAAAAATCTACAGGTGAACCTTCTGTGAGGCTCTCACATGCTCTGTGATACTCTGTCCTTCCCCAGAACTACCCCAGAGATCAGAGGAAGTTATTAATGTAGCTAAAGTGACTGTTCTTCTTTTGGTGTCCCTGACACCAGCGCTGTCACTCAGGAAGTTCACTGCCTGTTTGGCATTCACGCTATTTATCTGCCTTTCTCACATTGTGTGTCACCATGACAGCCAGCAGAAGGAGCCAGCAAGAGGCTATGAAACCACAGAAGGCTAGACAGGGGTTCTCCCTGCAGGGAAGAGGCTGTCTGTGTGCAGGTCAGTGCAGTTCCACCCAATGAAAGAGGCTTTCAGGGGTTACCCTCCTTGCTGAAGACATATTCAGCACCAGAGCCTCAGCTGGCTTATATTCAGCTTTGGTATAAGTCAGTTTTACTGTTCTCCATCCCTGCAGAAATGTGCTCATTCTGCATCTTGAGTTACATAACAAAAGTTACCCAAAATTCCAGGGAAGAGTTCACTGGCTTACTCCCAAGATTTTGCTGACAGCACTCTTCAAATATCTGAAGCAAGTCCATTAGCTCTGAGATATTTACGTGGCAGTAACAAAGACTGACAGGGCTGAAGTCACTCTGCCTCAGAAAAACAGCTCCAGTCTTGTTTAATGTTGTTTTGAACCCAAGTTTCACTTTCCAAGAGAACAAAAGCATATCCACAACCTGTGAAAGACAGAGACCCATGACTTCCCCAGCACACAGGAAAGCAGTTTACTCTAGGGTACATCAGCCCAGAGAGGATGGAGAGGAAGCCCTTCAGCTCCAGTTTCCTGCCAAGATTGTTCCTGCTGCAGGACTTGCACGAGGGGAGTGCTTCCCTGGCACATGGAGAGACCTCTCCCCCTTTCACAGCAGAAAGAACACGAGTTCTTGGTTAATGCTTATAATGGTGATGGATGTGGAGGGCTCAGGGGTCACATCCTCCTCCCAGAGCATGCCCAAAGGGGTCAAAGCAATCCTTCAGTCTGCCTTTCCTGTTACCAGCAGTCAGTCCACGGGGGAAGGAGAGGGGGAAATCCCTTCCTGATTCCCATTTGTCTGAAGTCCCCTTGCCACTGCTGGAGGCAGAAGATGGAGACAGCAGGCTGGGCTTCTCACTCACCACAGCAGGGCACAGCTAATGCTCTTCTTCTCATATTGTAGGAAGCAAGGGAAGAGCAGGCACCTCCAGCACCTGGGTCATGCCTGTGGCTGGGCCCCCTGCCCAGGAGGGCTCCAGCAGCCACCCAGCCCCAGGCAGGAGAAGGCAGCAGCCATCCTCTGCACTCTCCCAGGACACCAGCTCCATGAGCTTTTGTCTCTCAAGGACTCCCTTGGCAGGGGCAGAGGAGCACAGTAACTAAGTGGGCACTGCCTCTGTCCCCCGTGATGTCCAGGCCAGGTTCAAAGTGACACTAGTGTGATACATCTCAGCACAAGCTGGGATTGCATCTGCCCCGTGCACATGAGAAGTGAAAACACATTGGCTCGCTCCAAATTCCTCAAAAGGCCTGGCTGTGATCCACACTGGGTGAAACAGGCACTCATCACCAAGCAAGACAATCCATTCACAGCTTCCCACTGCGTGGATTAACATGCACAGGAGCTAACAACAGCAGGGAATGGAAAGCTGCTCCAAAAAGGAACCAAAAGAGAGAAAGCTCTGCTCACAGACATGGAACAAAAGGATATGGAAAAAATGAAGGGCTGCTTAGAAGGCTTTATAAAAAATAAGAAATTCAAGTTTCACTCTAGGCCAGCCATGGAGCTGAAGGTATGTAAACACTGCTGAGCCCAGGGTAAAATGAATTAGCAGGACAGGAATGCTCTTGAAAGTGTTCCTGCTCATATGAGCTTGTCTGCCCCAGGGGAGAGATGAAGAAGCCATGAGACATGAAGTCTGCCATGTGCCGTCTCAGGGCACCACACAACCTGAGGTTATTCAAATAAACTTCCCTCTGCTCCACTCAGCACCAAAGCCCCGCTCACAAGTCAGACCTCAAAGAAACACCATCCACTGCTACACTTCAGCAGCTGGGAGAATACAGACACAAGCTTTGGTGGAGAGAAAAGCTGAGAGGGCTGTGCACCAGGCAGGAAGCTCAAGCCATAAGGCCTAAGTGATGAGGGATTAGCAGGATGCATTTCTAACAGCATTTCAGAGAAACTCAAAATAGTCTGGGTTGGAAGGGAACACAAAGCTCATCTCATTCCAATCCCCTGTTATGGACAGTGTTACACCCCAGTCACTTAATTTCAGGGTTAAAACCAAGGTTCTTTTGCTCTGGATAGATTCAAAGGAGAAAATCCCAACCAGATATTCTCAAGAGGTAAAAAACCACGTGAAAGTTTGCTGGCAAACTACAGAAAATTAAGGAACATTGGCAAAAGAGTAAGTGCAACATAACATCACTTACCATTGCGTAGACTTAGCCCACTGAACATAGAAAACCTTTAAACCCATTCAATGTAATGTTCCCAAGTATGAGAAAAGAGGAGAAGGGAGAAAAACAGAAGGACAGGAAAGATACAGAAAAACAGACATATAGCTACTAACTCCAGTTCCAGTGAATTAAAGCTCCAAAATGAAGGTAGGGTCAAAGGACAATGTGCTTGCCTCGTGGTCAGGCTTCTTAAAGCTTTGGCCCATCCTGGGTCTTCCTCCCATGAGGGATTTGCAGTTTCTTGGACACACTGGGGGCTATGGCTGGCAGACACTGGGGGTACAGGGCCAGGGCACCACCCCACCACAGCAAGGTCTGACCCACCCCCTACCATGCATTCCAAGCATCCTAAGATGTCTCAAAACAGATTCCTTTTTCCACTCTCTAGCAGGCAAGGGCACCTTCCACTGTCCCAGGTTGCTCCAAGCCCCATCCAGCCTGGCCTTGGACATTTCCAGGGATGGGGCAGCCACAGCTGCTCTGGGTAACCTGTGCAGGGCCTCACCTTCCTAGGGAAAAATTTCTTCCTTATATCGAATCTAAACCTACTACCTGTTAGTTTGAAGCCATTCCCCTTCACCACTCCAGGCCCTTGGAAAGAGTCTCTCTCCAACTTCCTTGGCTCCTTCAGGGGCTTAGAGGCCACCAGGAGCTTTTCTCCTCCAG